TCGGGTGAGTCGGGTCGGACAAACAATAAACCTCAGTTTCACTTAGGTCGGACAGAATGTCCGGTGGTTTCCTTTCTACGTCGGACAATTTCACGAATGGGTCGGACAATGTCCGTGACCGACCGATATTTTAAGGTCTGTGTAACACGTGTATTATTATTAAATATTTATAATAAACACGGAATTTTAATTTTCCGGCACAACGATTTGCATTAAAAATTGTTCCGTGTATAAACAATAGTCATCACCTTAAAGAATTTCACATAAACAATTGAATGATAGCAAATACACTAATAATCGCTTACCTTGTATAAATCTTAAAATGTTATTAGCATTTAACATGGGCGTACCGGACGAGGGGGGCGGCAGCCCCCCCCCCCCCAGTTTGTTGGGTAAACAAAGCAAGTCGGGCAATATTCGCTTCACAGTCGGGCAATATTGGCTTATTATAAAAATAAATAGGACAAATTCTGTCAATTTTGTGGGAAATATGCTATCTAATAGGAAATTTTCGTAAGCACTCCTTCCCCCCCCGTCGACAACACTTTTGGAAAGTTTCTCCGGAAAAAGTTTTTTGACAACTCGGGCACAATCCGAAAAAGTCGGGCAAATTTCTTTCCGCTCCACTAATATTTTGCTTCCCGTACGCCCATGGCATTTAGCACAATCCCGCAAAATATCTTTTGGGGACGCCATTTTGCCAAAATTGAAGCGCTAGATGGTTGTGTTTGTACAACCGCTGTTAAAAGTTCACGGGCCTTCGATCAAACCAAAGGTGTACAATCGTCAAATCAAAGGTGTACAATCGTCAAATCAAAGGTGTACAATCGTCAAATCAAAGGTGTACAATCGTCAAATCAAAGGTGTACAATCGTCAAATCAAAGGTGTACAATCGTCAAATCAAAGGATCATTATCATATTAAATGTACACTGTAATCATATTAAACGTGTACAGTCATCGTATTAAATGTGCACATGATCATCTATTAGACAAATCATCGATTTGTCCAATCTACCGCGCCATATACAAGTTCGGGATCTTTCTCCGATTCTCTCTCCATGCAACTTCTTTAGCTGTTAATGCCACCGGTGTACTTTCTTGCGCGATAATTCGAACAACATCCACAGTTTCGCCACTGTGGTCTTTAGGAACTTTCGAATTTAACCTAGACAAAGCAACAGCTATGTTAGTTTTTCCCGGGCGATAGACAACCTTGAAGTGATAACCTTGTAGCCGAAGGACCCATCTTTCTAGTCGTGCAGACGGCTTAGACGATGTGTTGTATATATACTGTAAGGGCTTGTGGTCCGTCTCTAGCTCAAATTTACGACCATAAACATACAACTTGAATCTTTCACATGCCCACACTAACGCCAGACCTTCTTTCTCCGTTTGGGAATACCTCCTTTCGACGTCAGTGAGTTTCCTAGATGCATACGAAATTACTCTCCATGAATCACCCTGTAACTGTGTGAGAACCGCTCCAATCCCTGTAGGACCAGCATCAGCAATAATGCGTGTTTCACAATCGTTTGTGAAGTAAGCAAGCGTATCGGCCTGAGTTAAAAGATCTTTCAATGTTGAAAATCTTCTGATTGGTTCTGCCACTTGTGCAAAATCAGGTAGGAGCTTGGCACAGTACTGCACTAGGCCTAGGAAAGACCTTACTTCTGCAGCATTCTTTGGGGGTTTGGCATCTCTTACGGCTGCCACCTTCTCTTTGTTTGGCGAAACACCATCACAACTAAGGGACCGGTCATTATTTATGGAAGGGGGGGGGAGAGAAAATAAGGGGGGGCCATATGTAGAAATAAATGACTAGAAGGGGGGGCTATTAAATTTTTTCAAGAAAATGATTGGGGGGGGGGGTGCAATTAAATTTGAAGGAATTTGCTTAATAACCTAGTATCCATTTGGTTGTAAATGTTGCAACTAAATCATGGTCACTGATGTGAAATAGTCTGGATTCATCTTGTATTGTGTGTGCTGTATGCAAATCAGTCTTTACGGATTGCAGACTAGTTAAATTGACAATGTATTATTACATCAGCTCTTGACGTGTTAAATACATTTAAATTAAGCAAGGTTAACGGCGGATGTATTATGCAGGCCACATCCGCTGAGGGGAGTCTGTGACGTCATATCGATCAAAGGGGGTTGTTTCATGCTTTGTAATCAGTGCTTCGGTCTGGGTATTTACTATTCATTCTGCCATTGTATGCTTTGCCTAGCTGCAGCAAGTTTTGCGCTTCGATACCTTTTCCCCACCCACCCACGTTCATTCTAAAGGATTTTATCTGGTAGCTAGTATATGTCATTTTATTTTATTTTATATAATTTTTAATCTCACATAAAATAGGATGTATAGACAACTATACATTGTATTTCGCAGGTATGCCTTGGCAGAATTTTTATTGCTATCTCCTTTTGCTGCTAATATTACTGATTCTTGCTCCCATTGTAGGCTCGGTCCCATCCGTTCCCTCTTAGAGGGAACTGCTGGGACCGAGCCTACTCTCATTGTTGCTGCGCAGCTGCTATGGCAACATTACCTACTACGGCTGCTATTGCAGCCTTAAACATGGTTACAATTGCCCAGACCAAATGGAAACCTGATTTCAGTGTTATATATAAAAATACTCCTCTTTTATTAATCATAATTTTCTGCTAATATATATTTTTGGTCGACGTTAATATCTTGCCAGTTCCATATTCTTATTTAATAATTAACACTATAACGCCTGGGTATCCCCATTTGACGAGTAAAAATGAAAATGGGGGAGGGGGTCAAAGAAAAATATTCTAATATGCAGGGGGGGGTTATCATAAAATTTCTGCTCTTTAGGGGGGGGGCTTTCAATTTTAAAAATTTAGAAAAGAAAAAATTCCCCTCCCCCCCTTCCATAAATAATGACCGGTCCCTTATTATTATTCGATGGTAGTTCTCATTTTATTCTAATTGTAAACAATTAATTTTATTCTATAGTGCAGATAGTTTATTAAGCATAAAAAATATCAATGCACTCATAGAAACTAGAAATGTACTCTCCATTTCTGCAAAAAGTGTATGCGTGCTGACCAGATACTTTCATTCCTTTACATTATTTAGCTACAATAACCTCAAAACTACAAGTCTTAGACTACAATCAAAAGTTACAATTGGCCAAAGTGTTCACACAATGCTGAAGCATGATTGTTTGAAAAAGCCACTTTTACCATAGCAATTTGAACATGGTTTGTAAATACAGCAAGATGAAAACGGAATGCCTAGTGGCTTTGTGTGAACACAATCGCTATAATTTGTTTTGTACCACTTGCAAACCAAGCATCTCAGGTCTCAAAACAGTATTTTTCGTTTAAATTTCTTTGCTCCATTGGAAATTATGTTTTGAGTTTACATGAGTGCTAATTTAATTTGTAAACAAACTGTAACGATGCAGCGTCAACACATCTAAATTCTTCCGGTATTAATTGCCCTGGCAGTGTAGTGTAAACATAGTCTAAATGTAAGTGGTAACATCATAGATTACCTAATGACAGAGTTCATTGTTAATTTAATTAACAGCAAAACTCACAATATTTGTAATTGTCTTTGTCAAAAAGGTGGAAATGAAAATGGCTCAAACAAGAACTTCTTGGGTGTCCACATGCAATACTGAAGTTTCGACATCTGGTATCCACAATTTAAAAACAGGTATTGTAGGGTTAAATTTTCAGGAAAAATTATTTTCAGAAAAAAATGTTAAAGGCAATGTAAAGTCCGTAATGCAAACAAACGCTTTGTTTACATTGTAAACTCAGTGCTATAGTTGTAAAATATGATTAGATACATATTATACTGATTTTTTAACACTCTTCTGGTTCGATATGAGACTAGAGATTCAATTCAAGGAAGTTCGAAACTTGCAAAATATTAATGACATTCCAATGGTCGGGTCGGAATGTAGGCCTGCGCAGAACAGACTTTACATGGTCTTTAATTATCTACTGTATTACGAATGCTGTTGGATAAATAGCTGTAGAACAGTGGATTCAGTATCTGATGAATATTAACCACAGGTCCACAGCAAATCTAAATAGTTAAAGCAATTGTCCATTGTAAATTTGATGCACAGCACTTCTATATCTGTACAAGAATATCAAATGTTCAAATAGGTTGTCGGTTCAATTATATTCATGGTTCTCCAAGGGGAATTAAAAATGATATCATGTCACCAGTTGCCCCCCAACTTGCTCTGTTCTTTTGATACACACTTATCCAAACTGTCAAGCCAATAAACCACACCAAAAATCCAATCAACGAACCAGTCAAATAATATCTCATCTTCTTCTGTCCTTCGAAGTGTTTCACATAAAAGGCGTATTTGAAAAACCACACGAAGTTGACAAACCACAGAAACGGAAGAAAGGCAAAACCTATCACAAAATATCGACGACATAGTTGAAGTTTGTCTTGATCAGAAACTTTTCGTAGATCCATAATTTACACAATTATTCCTTGTTCTTCGCTTCTGCTATCACAATAATACACAGTAAGAGTAAATTATTCTTTTTACTCAAATAAATGATACTATTTCACGCTTTGAACGTAGAAACAAATTCAACTTTTGAGTATTTTGTATTTTTTAAGATTCCTCCTTCGTTTTCATTTCACTTCCACAATCCAAAATCGAATTCCTTTGCAAAGGCTGTGAATCTTCCTGAAATTATTCTATAATTTTAGTTTTTCGTAGAAGTTTTTGTTTTTGTTTATCATTGTGTTACCTCTAACATAATGCTAGATAACAGACTGAAATTTTATATTTAAATTCTTTCTGTTTTTGAGGCAATACAAGATATAAAATACATAAAAATTCAGTCAATTTTCCAAAATTTCCTTTAAAAAATTTCCTTTAAACGTAAGTGACGTCATGTTCTGTTGTCTAAAACCGCAGGACAATCACAGGCTCGCAATGACGTCAAACGTCAACAAACGATATGGCCGGCTATCATGTCGGAAAATTTATCGATAGAAATAATATTTTGAGATCATGTTTACTAGGTTTTCCTTTTATGATAGAGAGAAGGTAATGCAGTATTGTGTTGTACAAGTCTATAGTTTTGTTTAATATTTTATTTCGAATTTTTTGTTTGTTTTTTTTCAGGATTTTTTGTACGCATTTTCTATGCCCATTCCATCAGAAGGCCATCAGAAGGTCAATGAGTAATCAGCAAAATATACTGTATGAATTTGAAACGAATACTAGCTTACACAGAAAGAAATCATTTAAATCACAGCCGTCAAGGCGGTTATTTCAAGTGCCTGGGGTGTTAACGTCAAATAAAAGAAAGGAATATTCAAACAGAAAATTAATAGGGTAAGTATAAAACTAAATTGATAATTATTATTCTATAGGAATATTCCACGTGAAGTAATGCACGTATCAAAAATCCCGGGGTGAGGGGTTTGGCCAAATGGCGATTCGCCTTGAACACTCATCACAGTTGTCAGGAATTTGAACATTGATGATGTGATGTGGTGTGATCCTGCCAGGGATATGGATGCAGGGTATGATAATGCACCAATCAATTTAATTATACTGTTTACATACCCCTGGGCATTTTGAAATTTTGTGGTCAAATTTCCCACTCCCAGGACAAAAATCCTGTTCAAATGCCCCACATATAATGGAAAATTGATGGTCAAATGCCCCAAACCCTGATCATTCTGACTGTAATTCTATCAGTTCAAGTTTGGAATTGTGTGAAAACAAACACTGAATTCTGAAGGTAACTTCAACATTTTAATAAGTGAGACACTGTATTAAAAACGTACATCTCATGCTTTATAAAGTTTCCTAAAGTATTTTAAAATACTCCATTTTGAATTTTGATGCTTTTTAATAGTGTCAGACCTTGCACAATCTGGTGTATAAATGGTCAAATGCCCCATGTATTTTGATTCAGTGTCAAATGCCATACCCTAGCTAACAGTAGTTCAAAAGGTCAAATTTCCCACTCGGGGATAGAGCAATGTGTCAAATGCCAGGGGTATGCCCGGAGGGGGAGGGGTGTGTTAACAGTATAAATAAATGATTGGCCCATAATTCAAGATAAAATAGAGAATAATACATGGGTGATCGGAAATACCAGATTTATTTCGAGTGTTGAACATGATATCTCACGAGTGAGCGCAGGGAACGAGTGAGATATCATGTTCAACACGAGAAATAAATCTGGTATTTCCAAGCACCCATGTATTATTCTGTTTATTATATAAACAAAATTCAGTGAAAAACAATAAAATGTCTGTGGCAATGCGTTTTATTCCCTGGTACAACAAATGATATTTTCACACATAAAAATATCGTATTTTTTACATGTGTTTAAATACGATTTTTCTCAGTGGCCAAAAACTCTATATAACACTTACAGTATGTTTATATAATAAATATGTATTCTTAATGACAATTGCCTCGTACTTGATCTGGTACAAACGTAAAGCCATGCAAAGTCTGTTCTGCACAATGTCATACAGTATGTTCTCCACAGGCTTACATTTCATTGGTCGGGACCCGACCATCGAAATGTTATTAATATTTTGCACCTTCCAAACTTTCTTGAATTGAATCTCTAGTCTGTATTTACATATTTACAAGCATAGTGAACCAAAAGAGTGTTAAAAATTCAGTATAATATCATATTTTACAACTGTAGCACTGAGTTCAAAATGTAAACAAAGCGTCTGTTTACATTACGGACTTTACATGGCCTTTAAGCCTCAAAGTGGACTTCCTCTTTTGAAGTGATATACATAAAGTACAGGTTTCTGAAAGGTATTCATTCACTAACCTGAAACTACAAGTTAGAATGAGAAGGACGACAAGTACATGCACAAACACTAAAATGGCATCGACATTCCTTAGTCCCATCAGGCCTGTCATGTCTCATGCAAAGACATGTCAGTTGTATACAGGTCCTATATGCCCTAATTACGTATACGGTTTTGAATACCTTGGGTTTGGTAAGCTAGCTAGTTCCTATGGTACGGGTAAATGCAAGTATGCAGATAGCAAGAGTTTTGCATATCTATGTGGTACTTGGTTGAAAACAAATAAGTACCAGACCATAAATGTTGGCATACACCCGGTACATAAATACAAAATTTATCTGCCTCCAGGGATGGTACAATATTTTGCTCCAGACAACAGTTTAGGGAAAGTCGACAAATAGATTTTATCCCATTTCGCAGACTAGTTCTGCGATGGCTCTGACACCCCCCTCCACCATTGCAGACCAGTCGAATATCTTGTTTCACCAACTAAATTTCATCGGCTATTTAGCCATGTATTAAAAATAGGGTTTCATGCAACAGCAAGTTGTTGTTTCTGCCATATTTATAATGACTCTGAAATAGGCTTAGTTTATAATTTACATAAACATTGCTTTCAGAATTATCTTTCTAATTTAATTAAAACAATGCGATCACCGATCAGACTGTATAATTTACATAAACATTGCTGCAAGTTGGAAAAGTCCTTAAAATTTCTCATGTCTGGAAATTCATCAATACAGTATTTTGCAAATAACTAATCCTCTCTTGCACTAATCCTCTCTTGCGCTAAGTGGAGTAACATTTAATTAGGGCAGAAGGATATTAGCTCATGTCCTGCTAGCCGTAAGTTAGACAAGAAAATTGTCGCCCAGAATAAAATTCACATATGGCATTAGGTCTTGTTTTGCGCCCTCTCATATTAGCAAAATTTGAAGCAACTTAATTATTGAGTGCATGAGGATTGATTAAATTTATCTACATCCTTAAGTAATCCTATATATTTCCCTTAGTTATGGAGTCATAATTTGAGGAATTACAGTAATAATGAAGTGCTGTGTTCAGCTGATTTACTAATAAAGACACAAAATGCATTAATGTATGCCATAACCAAGCAAGCAATCTTGTGTAGCGTAAAACAGCTTGCCCTATTGGGCTATTAACAAAAAACTTCTACTTATCCGTAACAATTTTTATTTGCCCTACATAATGGCAAGTGGGCAAGTGCTAAGTTACATCACTGCCTTGGTTGCTACAAAAAGTATACACCAGGAACCAGGTGTTCAAAAGCCAAAATCAGCAGAGCCTGCTTCGCAGGCTATGACCAGCTTGCCTTAACCCTAGATTAACCTAAATTTCAAAGCAAACTTCCTGGCAGCTTGTTTACAAATTTGGAAATGATTCTTGAGAAAAATCTAGTCTGGATTGATAGGAGTTTACTTCTCTGAAGTTGTGAAATAATCAGAAGTGCAGAAATACATAAATTAAAACAGGGACCGGTTGTTTGAAAGCCGGCCGTTTGAAAGCCGGCCGGTTATCTTAATCCTAGGTTAACGATAAACGTCCGAGCAAACTTCTGAACCGCTTACTTATAAACTTGAAAATATTTTAGAAGTTTTATTTTCTGAAGTTTGAGCTCAATGGACATTCAGATCTACACAGACTATAAAACAAGGGGTGAAATTTTAACCCAGGAGGTTTGAGCAACCGGGACCAGCAGGTTAAATTTAACCAGCTGACCCCAGGGGTAGGTACATGTTCGAAAGCTGGTTGCCTTAATCTACAGTAGGTGAACGAAAAGTTCAAAGCAATCCCCCCAACAACCTGTTTACAAACATGAAGTGGGGTACGTGCATAGGCATACGAGCAAGGTTAGCTGTAGCCCCCGAGTCAGCATATAGTTGGAGAGATTCTATATATTAATTATGTTAAAAACCAGGCGATTGCTAGACGTGCTCACCTCGGTATAAATGTATTTCGTCTTATATTATTGTTGAGATATGAAATAAATATTAATGTTTAGTCAGAGAAACTGAATAACAGATTGAAATTGATTTCATTCAATTTAAATTGCACACAGTAGAATGAGTACCAGTATCTTAAGGAATATAAAGAATGAATCAAAGAGGTACTATACTCTCTATATATGTTTTAGTTCTATAATTTTTTTATTTATCGTTTTAAGATTGAATGACTTTCTTTCCGCGCTATGATATGATATGATGTGATATTGTATTACTCACGGCGTGCGGATTGTTGGGCTACCTATGGTCTGTATACTAAAATGTGTTACTCCTATTTACCTTCTATTTATCTGTCAATAAACCCATCACCCATGATAATGTCGGGTAGCTTCCATCAATGTCGGGCAAATTTTCGTCGGCTCTCCTATTTTTTTCGCCCGTATACGTTAATTAATGTACAATGGTCTGGTAAACTTGTCGACTTTATAAAAACAGCCGGGCAGATAAATGTTTTAGGAAATTAGCAAGTTTATATGTATTATGTATTGTGATGTTACTCTGAGTGTATATCCACACCGCGGGCAAGCTTGAAAAATATGTCTGGCCACGGTGTGGATATACACTGAGAGTAACATCACAAACATCATATTCACCTGAGTACACAACACCAACACAGAAAAAAAGTTTATATGTAATTCAACAAGATTGAAAATTCACGAAACAATCTAGGATAGAAGTATTAAGTATTAAATATTAACATTCAATGCGTAAAAGTAAACGTTTTTACAAGATAAACGTTCATATATTTATAGTGCAAACATTTGTACTGGTTTTCTGTTGACCATCGAAATTAAATAAACTAACACGTATTAAAGGTTCGAATAAAGCCGCACAAAATTGAATAGGCCTTCTGTCATGCTGGCGAAGTAACAGATCAACCTCGTTCCCAGGCTCTTTGCAAAATTCCCAAGAGCAAAGAGCCTGGGAACGAGGTTGGTAACAGATTTCAAGTCCGCGCAATTTGATCAAGTCCGAGGCGAAGCCGAGGATTTGAAATACCGTATAGTCCAGTCCGAATTGGAGTATTTGAAATGACATCTCATACGAATATATCACTATTTAACGTGAGGTGAATTAACTTTGATCCAGTCCAAGGACTGAATTAATTTTGATCCAGTCCTTGGACTGGATCAATATACTTCACCAGGTATCCAGTATTATTATGTGAGCAAAATGAACAGTATGGTTGGCTAATTTACTCATGAATTATTAATGAGTTTGAGATTGCTTGTTCAATTACGCAGGCTAAAATTGTCGATGAATTAAAATGTCACATCAATTAAGACGTCACGTCTAATTACGTGATGTAGCAAGCAACGAATGACCTTGCGCTCAATTAGGTGATGTAACAAAGAACGCGCGAGTTAATCATAATTGTATTTGTTTTGAAGCGCGCGGATGTATATTACTTCAGAGAGAATTTTATTTGAAATATATTGTTGCTTGGCTGACTTAACTAATGGAAATGAATGGAAAACAGAAATGTTTTTATGGGTTCCTTTGCAAGAAAGGGAAATATGTTCAACAGGACTTCGGTATCACTGCGACATGCGCACTAAGTTTTTTAATGTACCGATGTATGGACAAGATTGTCGAGGATCCGTCCACGAACTGTAAACCGGAAGGAGCGTTTCCCGTGCGTGTTCCACTCGCGATTCAGAAAGCTATCGAGGATGGAGCGGACGATGACCGTTACATGCAGGGCGCTTATATATAGGGCGCTGAAACGGCTATAGGCGCGCCGATCGATGTGTGATGCATTGTACTGGTAACGAGTTTGTTGTGGTTACTATGGCGACGTTGTCTTATTGCAAGGATAAATATGGCGGGAAAACTGAGCTGGAAGTTTTGACTGTTTTGTAGTCAAGTTTTGATGAAGAAATAGATATTGGGGGTAAAATTCCGATGTTATACGATAATTTAGTAGATTCTGCTATTGTATTTTCAGGTAATACTGCCAATATTTTAGAGTTTTTGCTCAAAACGCTTGCGAAAGCTTACGAACGGTTGCTTTCGCAAGAAGCATGACGTGATAGGTTTTTAAAACTCTTCGTACATACACGTATCGTTCACGTTCGATAGAATACAATTCACAATTAATGTTAGCCACTAGTTGATCTTTTCAGTTGAAAATCAAGAAATGCTCAACTTGAATTTGTATTTTTTTAACGAATCCTTACGAGTAGTTGTCTTGGCCAGCCGGTCAAAAAAAATCAAAGTTGGGACGAAACGTTTACGACTATTGCACTCAACAAACGTCCGAGCGAGTCGTATTTTGATTCAAAGGCCAAGAAGTAAAATATGTTTACGGCTCAGAGTTACTTCAATTGAATGCCTTAAAAGTCGTACAAAATTATTAACATAATAACAAAAAATCATGACATGGCCAAAATACAATTATTGTTTATTTTTTTGCAGCGACATAATAATGGTCTAACGAGGCAAAATTTAACACACAAAAATACCTCACTTTCCAACGCTGTATATTCAATTGCTCAACTCCGAGCCTTATGAAAACGTTTGGAGATAAGCACATAATTATAATCTTTACCATCAACTGAATTTCGAAGTTTGGACGACTTGATAACATGCCCAAATGCTGTTTTGAAAATTTCCCTTTATTGAAGCATCAAAAGCCCGACTCATTATCCTCAATATTTCTTTCAAAATTCAACTATACAGGCCAAACAAGCATTCGTACGATACACTAGTTACCACTTTGTCGTTACAGTGCAAAAACATCCTCAAGAATTTCGTAGTTAATGAAAAAACAGCGAAAATACAACAGCAGGAAAAATCACGCTCGTCAACTTTTGCCGAAAAGCACGCTCGTGCCAGTCCTTTTCCGAATCACACATCGATCAGCGCGACATCAGCGCGTTGCACCGTCCACTATATATAAGCGCCCTGGTTACATGTGAAGGCGAAAATGTTGAGAAGCAAAGAAAGGGCTCAGAAGCTATTACTGAAGGAAATATCGTCATCAAGGAACAAAATTATACAGAGAATGAACTTGGAATTAGTATAAAAAGAGCGAGTACTATCGAAGTAAACTTTGCAAAGAATGAACTTAGAGATAAAGCAAAAAGAAACGGCAACATGAAGGGACAAAATTATGCACAGAAAGTTGGAATTACTATTGAAGGAAAGAACAATGTTGACCTTAAAAATGGAAATGGCTTTGATGAGAAACTACGTCGTGAAAGTCTACAGAAAGGATTAAACGTTGAAAGTCGGTGGGACTCGGAAACATTTTGCAATTTATCAAATCCAGAGTATAAACATTATTCTGCAAGCGGAGTACCGGGAATTTCTGCTGCCGAATGTGGACATTTCTACTGAAGCAATGTTAGTGAATTGGGTAGCTTACAGGATCTTGTAGTGATTGGAAAAGCAATTGAATTTCAATCAAATTTAACTACCGGATTGGTCAATAAAACAGGAGAGTGTATTTTGAACCAAGATACCGATGTTGAAACAGGAAATCCTAAGAAACGATCCAGTTCAAAGCCGGAAAAACGCTCTTCTAAAATTGAAGATGAGTTGGTATTAGAAGACATTGATGATAATGATTTTTTCCCAGATGTAATCCTTCCTTCATCTCGCAAGTTAGAGCACCCGTCGGGGGTTAAAGACGACAAAAGTCAGGGGCCGGTTGTATAAAAACGTAGTTAGCGCTAACTGTAGTTAGCGCTAATCACTGCAGTTAAATCCTTAACTATAATTAGTTAACTACATGACTTAACTGCGTTGCACAAAACGTAGTTAGTCGGATAGTTAACTAATCACGTAGTTAACTGTGCGTGGGGCTTGCGTGGGGCGTTTAAACACAAAATTACATAAAGTAAGCAGCGAATAACGACCGCTGACACACATTTTCAACATGATTGTGGACTCGTATTTTGCAAATAGGCGGGAATTTTATTCAAAACACTAGAAAACAGTGAAAAATACAAGAAAACAAGGAAAAACCGCCACAAAAATCATAAAAGAATGCAGTTTTTCCTTGAGATGCCTACGTTAAACCAAGGTATAGCTGTTTGGCAATCATATATCAGTGTTTCTTGGTGTAATGGACCATACTTCGTCTTCGAGAAGTCGTCCTGTGCAAAAATATGTTCTGTTTTCGTAAAAACACCAAAGCGATAGCGTTTGAAGAGTTTATATTGTCAGGAAACATTCACAGGAAAGATAGCGATTGAAAATCTCAGGTAAACGTTGCTTTTCATTATTGTTTTACTGAAAAATGTTGTTCACTCCTATACAAACGCCATTTTTAACTACGTTTTGGACAGTTAACTATACCCTAAAGCATAGTTAACTTTAACTACTTTTTAACTGCAGTTAAGGCTAACTACACTTTTATACAACCGGCTTAACTACGTGATTATAGTTAACTATTTTTTAAGGCTTTTTAACTACTTTTTAACTGCAGTTAGCGCTAACTACGTTTTTATACAACCGGCCCCAGGTAGCTATGATAACACCATCTGCAAGTGAAGTCTGTGGAAAATTAGTTAAACAAGCAATTCTACTTTAGCTTTATCGAGGTTACAGAGATTGCGAAGGAGAGTAAGAAGTTTGTTTTCTTGCTTTGGAAACAACCAAGTGACACCCGCCGGGGTTTCAGAATGATTTGAAGTAGGCGGCTGTACCAAAAAAGTAGCCGGTTGTGACTGAAAGTTAAAAATTCGCGCGGGGAGGGGGGCGTGCCCTCGCATGGAAATTTTTAAAAATTTCGCCGCAAACGGACCAATCCCCAATTAACCAAAATTTTGATCTTAACAAGTCCAGACAAAATTCCATCATAGCATGAAAGAGCATCACAAAATTAGTAATATTCCAAAGTATCGTTGCGAAATTTTGTAAAATGCGGATAATATATCCTTGGGAAGTTTGTAATTTTCAGTCATTTTTTATTACGCACAGAAGTGGTAACCATTTCCAGTTTGTAATACAAAATGACTGAAAATAGAAAACTTCTTAAGGCTATACAATCCGTATTTTACAACATTTTGTAACGAAACTTTGGAATATTACTAATTTTGTGGTGCTCTTTCAAGCTGTGATGAAATGTTTGTCTATACTTGTTGAGTTCAAAATTTTGGTTAATTGGGGATTGGTCCATTAAAGGCCAGTTTACACGGGCGATTTTTGCTGCGATTTTAGGGCGATTTTCTTCTGATGGATGTGAAGGAGTGGATGAGTTATAAATGTTCCAGGTTGCGAAATTTCATAACAACGTTATTAAGTAATCTACTCCTTCATATCCTCCAAAAGGAGAAAATCGCAACTAAAATCGCAGCAACAATCGCCGTGTAAATGATGGGCCTTAACAATCAAATAATATAGAAAAACTAAAGAGACAAAGTACAACTGTTGACTTGTTAGATTTAGATGTCATTTGCATTTATACTTGTAAGTGACAATGTACTTTAATGCATTGTTCTACAAGTAGTTTAATTTTTACAGCTGCATGAAGAGAATGACAACGTACACTATTAGTATTAATTTATGAATCCGAAATTGTTAATCAAATGATGTTATACTTATGTACGTAATGAATTTACTTCATCACTTTACCACAATTAGTTCACTGTCAAAGAATTAGTCACTAGAAAAACATTTGCTAAAGTAGCTCTGAATCTGACTCGTTCTCTGGCTCACTGTCAAATTCGGATTCCCCAATGCTTAAGTCACTGCCAGAGTCAATCAGAGTCATCTTCCTGTTCATGCAGGGAGATTCAGAGCCGATGACCATTTGCTGCGAAATTTAAGATGGCGACGAGAAAACAAAGAATGTTTATATTATCGCTTTTACGACAGCAACTTAAGAAAGCAAGCTATGTTTGATACTATGTATTATTGATTTTATTGATCTTCCAAAATAAGTGATGTTTGCTTGAATTCCAATTGGAACATAACAAACATCGTGTTGGTTCGCTTGTACCTTTGTATATAAAATTTTTCCTGTGACAAGACGAAAAGTAGCCGGCGGTAAAAGTTCAAGTAGCCGGCGGAACTCCGCCGGCCGCCGGCTTATTCTGAAACCCCTGCTGACCCGTAGACAGTTAATTGCTGTGAACAGTCCGATTTAGTGGACGCTTGTGGTTGATGGTAGGGGTAGAAGAAGGGTTAGTGTTGCGATAGAAAAGTAAAGTTGTCTGTATTTTGTTTAGTTTACGTATACGAGTAGTCTGCTCGCAGCCTGAATTTGTTTCGTGCATACCAGACGACGAAACTTGGACGCACGTAACAAAGAAACACTGTAGATGGTCCTCATATCGAAATATTTCATTTCTTGTGGTTTCATTCGTAGTGTTGTGTTCAACTGTTCATTTCATATTTATGTTAGTCGCACTTAACACAAGAACTTTAATTCCATTCGTCTAAGGCTTCTTGTATAATATAAATACGGCCATCGCATCCTGTAACAATTAATGTACATATACCCGAAGCGTAAGTGGTGGATGATAATAACACCTGAAAGCTTGAAAGGATCCTACCTGAAAAATATAAATAAAACTTCGACGTTTCAAGCGAAGGCCTATTGGCTTTGGCAAGCGAAGGCCTATTGGAGTTAGAGGTTATACTTGAAACGTCGAAGTACCAGCTTAAAAATGCAGATATCCCTGTATAGATAACTGTGTTAAATCTAACCAATTCAGATTTTCAATGGAGAATATATACCATGTGGTGTCGCATGTTGAAGATTATAAAGATTTTGTGCCATCATTGGTGCAGAGACTCGACAGTACACGAACGAAAAGATGGACATGTCAAGTGCAAATTAGTCATTGGATTTCCACCACTTGTTGAACGATATATTTCCGTTTTGACACTTGTGCCGCCTAACCTAGTTGTGGTGAGTATAAATTGAATATTCTTTTAATTTTCTTTTTTGCAGAGGTAAAAATGTTTCAGAAATGTCGTACAAGGTCGTACGTTCTGCAATTAATGCCCGTTTTCCGCTATGGGCGAACTTGTTCACGCGAAGCGACTTGTTTCTTTGTCTGCATCGCTTCTGGTGGCGTGATAAGCGATGCTGACAAGGGAAAAAGTCAAAAAATTCGCCTGTTGAAAAAGGGCTTAAAACGTTCTTCTCCACTCATCGCAAGAGTGAACTCGCAAGCTCACTGCGAGTAGCCGAGCACTTTCATTCAGTCGCAATACTCGACAGCTTATTTTAATTACTATAGATGCATACACTTGCGATAAGTGGAAAAGAGCCTTAAGGTGGTCTTCCACCCTGATTTCATTTATGGCCAAAACAGCTGCAAATCAATCACCAGTACTTTGACTGGAGAGGGCTTGATAAAGTGAGCACAACAACATACTTTTTGAGCCATATGTTGCCATGGTAACCAAGATAATGACCCCCAACTTTGATTTTAGTCACCATTTTTTAAAAAGGATACAGAACCAAAGAAGAGCTAAAAATACAAATAACTCTTATTCCTATATTCAGAAAGGGCACATCTAGGGGATGAACCTAAAAAACCTGGTAGCATTTGTTGTTTTTCACAAAAAAAATAGGGCAAATCCATTTTTACAGCACAGCGGGGTGCTTCAAATCCTGTTGTTTAACGATCTATTCACAAGATACATAATATTTTAGGTTCAGGAACAAGAAAGGATATCTATATTACCACATAGAAAATTTCAGGTCATTTCGTTATATTGTTTTTGAATTATCCTTTTTAAAAGGTTTCCGGATGACCGAAAATGCTATTTTGAGAAAACGACCGTTTAAGATAGCCTACAACATACATTGAATACAAATCACTAAATATACAAGATTAAAACATTACTAAAGTGAGTATATCTACTTTCAGTCAAAACGCACTCACAAGCTATGTTTTTCCCTCTTCAGCTTTATCTTTGCCCCCTTTTTTCTTCT